GCTCAGATTCACTATGATATGATGAAGCACAGACTCTCCACTGTGAATTCAATCAGCGTCTCCTTGAGAGAGTTCTGGAGTGAGCTCTCAAATGTCACCATGTGTTTTCCACTGTTTTAGTCTAAGCTTTTTTGGATGTGCTGGATGCACTGTAATAACAGACTGTGAATGCATGTGTATACATATCTATCTGTCTGGTTTTGATTCATGTACATTTCTGTTAGGGCTGCACCTATATAGATGAAGACATTTTAGCAGATTGATAGCCAGACTGACAGGCTGTCAGTGTGTGAATTAGTGATATCGTTAGGCCAGTAGGTGGCAGCAAGTGACTGAACCCATAAGGGAATCATTGAATCATTCAACCTAAAGACTAGTTAAAAACACTGGGTGCTTTAAATGGAAGGATGCATCCTAGTGAGTGCATGAAACGCTAAAATGAGACAAATGGCTATCATAAATGTTTCCACCCCTGCGGTCACGGTACAAATATACTATTAAAAATATAATTGGAAGAATGCTTTATTTAGAACATTTTGGTATTATCTGACTTTTTATTAATGCAGTAAAGGTAATGAAAACTGTCTGTGGTCTCCCAGTGGTTTATATTTCACAGTTTAGCATTATGTGATTAATTTACAACAGAATAAAAGAAAACATAATGCATTACCACGAAAATATGTTTTTGTCTTGCATAAGACAATGAAACTGATTAAGCTCAGTGTTGATTTATTTTCAGAATTGGAAATCTGTGCAAAGGATTGTGGGCAATTGAAGGATGCGAAGGATACACAATACTCCTTCAAAATGAAGGATGCTAAATGAAAACATCCTTCAACAAAACTTTATGATTTGGCAGCCTAGATATGCAGCATTGCAAGGACGTGTCCTTCCATTTGACAAGCACCTGCAGATTCATTCAGAAACAAAACGAGCAACTATCCTTGTGAGTGAGTCACTGAATCATTCATTGAATCGATTTTTTTTCAAAAGCTCAGATTCAGTCGGGAACAAACCTACCACGTGTTGCACCTATAGATGCACAGCAGTGTTGTTGGGGATTTATTTGGAAAACTTTCAGTGGTGGTGCGTTAAAATGTATGTTACTCAATATTTACTTGTTCATTGAACTGTTGTAAAAAAGCGTTATCAATTTTAAACTTTATCAGAAAGAAGGGTGTGTTAGAAATTAGTGCAATCCCTCAAACGTCTTATGGGTTGTTCCATATGATTTTCCATTTTTGTCTATGTAAATATGCGATAGTCGGATCTGTTTGAATGCTCATGTCTTGAGTCTTTAGCTGTGAATTGCAGCGATTTACAGATGCGGTGCTCAAGTTCAATTTGTAAAATAATGCATCTCCAAGTCTTGCATCTTATGGTTTTAAATGCAAAAACACATTCTGTGTGACTAGCACATTAAAGAAAACAGCATACTATTGTCAGCAAATCCCTGGAAAGAACCATATTCTTCAGTGCATGGAAATGTAATCATTTGTAGCATTTTACTCTGTTAATTTTATCCTGATGACAAGCAACTTTGAGTTGATGAGTTTGAGGAGGGGCTATCTGTTTATTTGACCAATTGCAGATGTGATACCAGCAGTCAAAGCAGTAAAAAATAATAGATTTACTGTTCAAATTAGATAAAAAGCTCTAATAGTATTTGCTTCCAGCATCGGCTTGACAGATTATTTATTAGCTAGCCTTATTATTGCCACTCGTATATTGTACATCCCTAATATCTATTTTCCATATATCTGCCCATCTAATTTAGCGACATCAGTATCGAGGGCTTTAATTAGCCATTTCATCAAAGTCAACAGCTTTACCTTCATGGGCTTGAGAAAATCAACAGTACCTCATGAACTTCACGATTCCTTGCTTACAGTGACCCTCAACAGCCCCTCTGTGGGTTGAGGTGCATGTTTAATACAGCTCTAAAGCACTCTTTATCTGCAGATTTAGCCGTCTACCCTTCTTTTCCATCTTTCGTTTCTTCCTTGTGATGTGCTCTTCAGATGTCTCTGGAGTGCAATATGAAGAAGCCTTGTGGAAATCGAATTAACCAGAATGCCTTGAGAGAGCAGGGCTTTTCACACGCATGTACACCCGGAGAAACATAAATCACGGGCTGTCCTAAGAATAGGGTACTTTGGAGAGGGCTTGGTTCCATAAAGCCATTAGCTATTAGTTAGGATCCTTTTCCAAGTTTCTTAAGGTTTGTGTGTACATGAATTTAGATTAAACAAACATATATTTCTGTGGCAAATTTGACTTGAAATATGTTCTTACATCATTTGAAATAAATGCCATCTGATTTGATATTTAATACAATGGCATTCATACTTTTTTAGTGGCGCTTAAATGGTCAAACACTCATTGTGGCCAGTACATAAGCTGTTATTATTCAGAAAGAGAAATGAGGTGAGAATCAAGAAGCTTCACAATGGTGAAGGTGAACCTTCACAAGAGCTCTTCACAATGCCACTGACTAGCTGATTTCTGCATGTCAGATGTCATTACATTTCAACTTGACTGTAAGGTCTCTTATTTTGCTAGGTACTATAATTCATATGTGTTAACCTTAATCTCAAGAAGTAGTTTTTTCTTTTCATGAAGGTTTTTTTTCCGCTTCTCTGTGAGCTCTGTCAGACCATATAAAAACTCCTTTGATACCAAGGCAACAATGACAGTCTGGTCCTGTCTCGTATTTTTCGAGCAAATCAACACAAAGACCTTGGGATAGAGTGAAGGCGGGGTTTTGTTCGGTAAGCAGACGAACACTTGAAGGGTGTTTAGGTTGGCATGTCCTGATTAGGGATAACTATGGTTAAAGGTTCTTTCTCTTGTGTATGTATATAAATGGTTCATCTGTAATTATTCACTCAGCCTCACCTTGCAGATGGAGCCCCTAACCCCACCGTCCCACTGTCCTCTGTGCGTAAACGGCACGTCATGCTGATTAATAACAAGCAAGCCGAATGTTCTCTTGTGCACTTGTATGAGAGATTGTTCAATTAAGAGCATGCTTGACTATATAAAATCTTGAGAAATGAAACTTCCTTGAACTTATTCATTATTACATAATCTGATAATTGACTTTGTTCATGACAAGTAATACAGTATATATACACTACTGTTTAACGTTTGGTGAAGAAGATTTTGAGAGAAGTTTCTGATGCTCACCAAGGTTGCAATTATTGGATCAAAAATACAGTAAAAAAAATGTAATATTGTGGAACATGGCCATTTAAAATAACTGTTTTGTATTTTCATATATTTTGTAATTTATTCCTGTAAAATAACTATTTTTAATATATTTTAAAATTTTATTTATTCCTGTGATGACAAAGCTGAATTTTCAGCAGCCATTACTCCAGTCTTCAGTGTCACATATCCTTCAGAATTCATAATAATATGATGGTTTGATGCTGAAGAAACACTTTTATTATTATTATTATTATTATTATTATCAATGTTGAAGACAGCTGTGTTGCTTAATATTTTTGTGGAAAGTTTTTGTGATTTATTTATTTTTTAATAATTTTGGGGAATTCTTTAATTAATAAAAATATTAAAAAGAATAGCAATTATTTGAAATATAAATCTTTTGTAACATTATAAATGTTTTGATTGTCAGTCAATTGAATGCATCCTTAATGCATTAAACCAAGAATTTTATATTTTTAAAATTGTTAAATTTATTTAAAATTTTATATTTAAAAAAATATCTTGCTGACCCCAATTTTTACAGTAGTGTATATATTTTCTATGTATGTTCTTGGAAAAAAAGTGATTTCCTTTGTACACATGTATTATGTAGATGTAATTAACATGTCTATATAGAACCTAAATGGAAAAATGTAATTATTTAAAGTGAGACAATTAAAAATATATATTATGATTATATATAATTGAAATCTAGAATTTAAAAAAATTCTTTTTTAAATTCTTTTTATTTTCATTGTTAGGATATCTAGAATGTTTAAAATTCGTCCTAGGGAACAGAAAGGTTCCCCTAATTGAAGAATCAGCCATGAATATGTCTGTTTTGAGTATTTGTGCCTGTTGCTATATCAACATCTCACAAATTTCTGTCTTTATACAGAGAAATTTTGCAATTGTCACACTCTGCAGAGACAGAGAGCCTCGAGGCTAAAAAGAGCATAAAATACATTTTAGTATTCCGCGCTGTGTGTTGTCTCTCTCTCTCTCTCTGTGCTCGGTATTGAGAGAGTAATGCCAAAATTGTCATCCTTTGTGAACTCACTGAAGGGAGAGATACTCTGTGGAAAGAGACAAATAGACAAACAAGGGCTTTTGAAAAGTAGGAACGGGAAAACTACACAGAAGTTTCTGAGGAGGCTGTAATACAGCAGATATGCTCCGCAGAGAAGCTGGATTTTTATTTCCCCCTCAGTCTCTATTATTCTCTCTGAGTTTAGTGTGTATGTGCCTGTTTCTTTAAGCAGAAACATTCTTTCTAATATGCACTAAAGCTCTCCACAAATGTTTGTAGCCACACAAAGATATGAAATGTTTTCTTTTCCGAGAATATTTCATGTTCTTACCTTCAGTTCTCTATAGTATAGTTTTATACTATATTTAATGACCGAACACAGTCAGAGTGACAGCAATGAAAATTCTCTCATCATTTACTCACCCTCATGTCACTCCAAACCTGTATGACTTTTTTTCAGACTTAAAACAAAAGAAGCATTTTGATCACCATTGTTTCCCATACAACGAGAACATAAAATGGCTTTTAACTTCCACAGAGGACAAAAAAAGCACCTTAAAAGTATAAAAATGCTTCATATAACCCATGTACAATATTCTATACCTTCTAAAGTCATATGATTGCTTTGTGTGAGGAACTGTTTGAAATTTTAAACTATTTGCTTTAATTAGTTGATATTTGAGTGTGTATGCTTGTATGTGATGGCACTGACCTTTGGCTGATTCTTCCCTCTTGCTGTGTTGTCGTCTTCCTCAAGGCTCCTACATGATGGTCAACTCCTCCCAGCATGCAGCGGGGCAGAGGGCTCAGCTTCTGCTACAGACGCTAAGTGAAAACGACACGCACTGCGTGCAGTTCAGCTACTTCCTGTACAGCAGAGACGGCCACAGCCCGGGGGCGCTGCGGGTTTATGTGCGGGTCAATGGTGGGCCGCTTGGCATTCCCGTGTGGAATGTCTCTGGCTCGCGTGGACGACAGTGGCACCAGGTGGAACTGGCAGTCAGCACTTTCTGGCCAAATGAGTACCAGGTGAGCGACATTTTTAATTAGTGACCGTCTTTTCTGAGTGATTACACACTACAGGACATTTGTAATTTATTCTTGCTTTTTGACATTGATTGATGTCACATTCATTATATATTACATATGTGTTCAAATGTTTCATTTACCAATAGAAGGATTAAACAGTGTTTCTGGATACTATATGATGGTAAATACTTTTGGAGAGTAACATGTCAATACCATGGTATAGATCAAAGTTCCGTGGTAACCCTACTGGAAAATGCCACTTAAAATTATAGCTGTTTTATAGAACATGGTAGTTGGTTTCCAGCTGGTCTAAACCAAACCTTAAAGGGTTAGTTCACCCAAAAATGAAAATTAGCCCATAAATTACTCACCCTCAAGTCATCATAGGTGTATATGACTTTCTTCTTTCAGACGAATCCAGTCAGAGTTATATTAAAAATGGTCTTTGATCTTTCAAGCTGTTTAATGCCACTCAGCGGGTGTTGCATGCATCAGTCCAAAATAAGTTAAATAAAAAGCACCCATCCATTAAAAAAAAGTGTCTCACACGGCTCCGGGGGGTGAACAAAGCCCTCCTGTAGCGAATCGATGCGTTTTTGTAAGAAAAATATCCATATTCAAAACTTAATAATCACTTTAATGTAGCTTGCACCACAGTTGTACATGTAAGCAGCTTCGGGCGAGTCCAAGTGAGTCATTGGTTGCTCCAGGCTAGTCTAAACTGGCCATTAGTTCGTTGAAACTGGTCACTAGCTGGTCCAGGTGAGACATTAGTTGGTCTAAGCTAGTCTAAATTGGTCATTAGCTAGTCCAACAGGGTCATTAGTAGGTCCAAGTTGGTCATCAGTTGGTCTAAGACATTTATTAGTTGAAAAAATTCTGGTCATTAGCTGGTCCAAGAGAGTTATTAGTAGGTCTAAATTTGTCTAAATTGGTCATCAAAATGTTGGTCTAAGTAAGATGCTCATTAGTTGGTATAAACTCGTCATTAGCTGGTCCAGGCTAGTCTAAGCTATTTATCTGTTGGTCTAAAATGGTCATTAGCTGGTTCAAGCTGTGTATTAGCTAGTCTAAATGGTAATTAGCATGTCCAAAAGAGTAATTTGGTCTAAGTACCTCATTATTAGGTACAAACTTGTCAAGTTGGGTCTATGGGTTCGAGTTGATCGAAGTTAGTCATCAGTTGGTCTAAGATGCTTATTAGTTGGTACAAACTGGTCATTAGTCTAAAGTGGTTATTAGCTAGTCCAAGATTGTCATTAGTTGGTTCAAGCTGGTCATTAACTGGTTCAAATTAGCAAACCATCTTGGACCAGTGATAAACAATCTACCATCTGGTAGTTTAAGGTAATCAAAATGGAACACGGTGGCTGGTCGACCAGCTGTAAACCCACAGATTTTCCTGGTAAATGCTTCGGAAATGCTTGAATGTCAGACTCTAAGCAAATTAATTCATCATGTTTGCCTTGAAACAGTAGAGTATGCCACAAATTAGCAATGTGACTGACAGCTGTTGTAATCTTAGTGGCAGGCTTAGTAAACTTGTTTTCGACTGCCTTCCCATAAAGTTGCTGTGACATAAAGATAGTACAGTATATCAGAGCTCTGCCAACAGCAGCATACACAGACATCCCTTTTACTCACCACAAGGCATTACACAACCAGTGATGGAGACTACTGTCTTATTAGTCATGCCCCTTGCATTATTTAATTAGCATTGATCTTAGCATGAATGTAGGTTAGTGCTGTAGGGCTTAGACAAACCCACAATATAGACCATGTCAATAGCGTTGACACGTCTTACTCAACTAGTAACCTAATTTCCCTACTGTACCATTACGTGTGAGACACAGTCTACCAAATCACTGCTTACGAAATGACAGCCCATTCACCCCCCCCCCAAGCCGATCGATTGGTGTCAATGGCTGGGCTGCCATTGGGTTACACGCTGCTATAGAGGTGCGAGTGGGCAGACGCAGGGGGCTTCATCCATTCTCTGCGCAGCTGTCAGAAAGCAATTAAGTTGATTAGTGTTCACTTTATCGAGAACTGTCGATCTCTCCAACCTAATTAACTTTCACATGCTGGAGAAAAGATGTGGCCTTCATGTGTAAATAAAAGTCCTACCGACAGTCAACAAGATGTGAAGGTGGAGGGAACATGACAATAGGTTGAATTTGTTGTGTTTTTGTGGCCCTGCATGGTCGATTCTGCGTCGCTTTGAATTTCGCTGAGTGCACATGAAGAAAACATGTTGTTTCTCTGAAAAACCAAGAAATTCTGCTGGTGACCATCCGGTTCAAAAAGCATCTTCAGTGATAGGAATTTAACAGTTGCTGTGTATTATTATGAAATATGTAGTATGTATTTTTTTTACCATTGCAGTTTATAGTTATGTGCTCTGAACAGCATACTGACTTACCCTATTACCCAAATTAAGTTTTCAAAACTTTATTTTCAGTTGTTGTTTTCAGTTAATTGAAAACTTAAATTATCGGTTTTAGTTTTTTGGTGCGCTGCATGAGGCAAAGAAGTAATATAGCCAAAACAACCGCATAGCCGCTCTTTAGTGTAGATGCATGTTGATTTTATCAGATGATAACGCGATTATAAATGAGAGTGACTCCTGGTTAACATTAAAAGGGGTCGTGTTTAGTCACTATTTAGTGTGGTATTTTTTGACAATATTCACTCATCATGACAGTAAAATAGGGCATTCTAAGTCAATATACTGCATTATTTCCTCTCTCAATCAGTAGAAAATATGGTTAACAACCGGTCAGGCATGAAAAAAAAATACCGTCATGTACCGTGAAACCGGTATAATTGTGGAAAATACCGTGATATAAATTTTTGGTCATACCGCCCAGCACTAATTAAAATTTCTCCATGATCTGCTTTTGAAGAAATATTGTTGTATCGTGCTACAGGGCACATTCTGTCAGCTGCAGTTCTGGCACATCCTTCCGTCTCAATATAATGTACAGCGCCACATGCATTCACATCAGTGTTAGCTCAGCGGTAGAGTTACTCTCACAGGACACTGCACTTATGCGCAATCATAAAACTACATTATTTCCATCTGCTTTAAAGCAATACCGGTTAAATGTTTAATTCACGTGCTATTCTGCATGCGCTTTTTCTGAGCGCGTACTCATGAAGCGCACTCACACTGAGAGCCTGTCAAAAAGCGCCTGATTATTGGACTAAGTTGTCTTTCGCGTCTGATTAATTTAGCATCTAACACTGTCAAAAACACACAAGGTTTACATATAAACACAGTTGGTTATGTCTAAAATGAAAGTAAACAGTTGAGAGAGAGTTTGCACGCGTGTGCAGCTCTTAAAGGGACAGTAGCTACTAAACATGCTGCCAACTGTCATTAAAGGGATAGTTCACCCAAAAAAGAAAGTGTCTTTCATTATTTACTCACTCACATTTTGTCCCAAACCTGTATTAATTTCTTTCTTGTGCTGAACACAAAAGAAGATATTCTGAAGAATGTGGGTAACCAAACAGTAGCTGGTCCACACTGACTTTTACAGTTGGAAAAAAATACTATGGAAGTAACTGTGGACCAGCAACTGCTTGGTTACCCATATTCTTCAAAAATAACTTTTATGTTCAACAGACGAAATAAACTAATTCAGGTTTAAAACAACTTGAGTAAATGATGATATGAAAATTAAACACTATGACAGAATTTTCATTTTTGTTGAACTATTATTTTAATGTTAATAAAACAACAAAACACAGGGGGAAAAAATCACTCACTGCACTTGACTGATGAACTTATCATTAGTCAGTTGCTTTAAAAAAAGTATAATTGATGTAGTGTATATAGTGTTTTATTTTAATATTTGTTCATTCAATTTCTTGAATGTTACTGCTAAATACTGTACCTGAAAAATAAAGCACTGTTTGTTTTATTTGTATATTATGTGTATTTGTAATGTATATCTTTGTTCTTATTTTGCTCACTTTGGCCTAAATGTCTGCCATTCTTTTTTATTTTATATTTTGTTAGTGTAAGAGGTGTTATGTTTCTGCACTCTTCCATTTTTAGCAAATTAAGAAAACTTTGTCTAAAAACAATTTTTGTGATGTTTGTATTTTTTGTGCTCTGTATGGAACATCAGTGCCTGTTTAAGTGATGAACTCCATTACTTGTGTTTGTTTTCAGACATGATAACAGACGTTTTATACTTGTGCTACAACCTTTTAACCTGTGCTACAAAACTTTCAACCTCTGTAGCACCAGTGCTATGTGAAAAAAAGTTAACGTACAGCCCTGGTGTATGGTATATAAAATTTTAAATGGTTCAGCCCCTTCTATACTTCGGGATTTTGTGCATTTTCGCTCTACAGTCTCTGTAAGTTCTACTAAATCATCATCTACTAGTGATTGTGTTGTTCCTTTTCGTCATTCTGCCTTTGGGTTATTGTCTTTCTCTGTGAAAACTGTTATTCATTGGAACACTCTACCAGAAGACATAAGGATGTGCACATTAGTGGTCGACCGATATTGGACTGCCGATGCCGATATCTTGGAAAGCAGGGTGGCCGATATAAAGCCGATATAATTTTATTTATTTTAATTGATATTTAAGAAATGTGAAATCATTTGAAAATGGATTAAAAAATAAATGTTAAATAAACATACTTATACTTTAGATGACAAAGTATATCACAAATAAATAAATATTTAATAAAAATATAATTAAAAAGGAAGTAAATACTGTAACCAACAGGGCACTCAGTATTCTGGGAAGATTGTGTGCATTGGGAATAATATTTTTTCAAATAAAGCCAAGGTAACACTCATTTTACATACAGCGCACAGTGGAAATGACATGAATATGGCAGTGGGCAAATGCATAAAGCGCATCATAATTTGAAATCACGAGTTTAAAGTTTTTCGATCGCGCGTCTCCACTGATGCTGAACTCTCCTCCTGTCCGGTGTCTGCATTCAATTCGCACGGACCGACCGTCACACAG